CAGGAACCCCAGCCTGGGCTCAGAGCGTGTCCTGCCCTCTCCTCTCTCCGCTGCAGTGCCGGAGCTGCCCGAGCTCCGTGCCCATCCGTGCCCATCCGTGCCCATCCGTGCCCATCCGTGCCCATCCGTGCCGTCAGACGGGCACATCTCAGTGCAGGGCAGCTCTCAGGGCAGCTCTCAGGGCTGCTTTAGGGACAGGGTCTCCTCCTGTGCGAGCTCGGTGCTCCCTGAGCTGCACCGTGGGGTGCTCGCAGCCTCCTGAGATGGGGATACTGAAGCACCACAAAAACGCCTCACCCTCGGCAGAGAGGAAGCACCTGGGGGTTGGGATGAGATGGAACTGGACAGCAGAGTAACCCCAGTCCTCCTCCAGTGTGACAGACCCTTTAAACTGCCCGCTGTGCTCTTCCCAGGTTACTTCAGCTAAATCCCTACAGTCAAACAGCAGGGATGAGGAGAGGTGTCCTACAGAGAAAATGTAGACTGAGAAAGTTTTACAATATAAATAGCATTCAAAATTATTATCATTAACAGTAAAAAGGATCTGGAAGAACAGAGGAGTGTCCCATTCCCACCCCTGCTCATTCATTAATGCATCCTCATTTATGTAACAATAAATACCCACTCCCACCCTGGCTGTCTGATGCCATTCATTTAATGCTGGAGAAAGAAGGGGGAGGGGTGGAGAGAGAGCACACCCCTCACCCCTCMTTCCCACTGGAAAAAGCTGAGTTGTCTTTGTGACACCAATTCCTTAAGTTTTATATATGTGTGTGTGTGTGTGCATTATATAGAGACACACACACAAATATATATTTCTAGAAGTCATTACCTCTTACTCCCACCCACCCCCCTCCAAGAAGTGGAGATTATTATTATTATCGTACAACTGAAAACATGGAAAAACAAAACCCAGAAAGAAAACTGGGGGGATGGAGCCCCACCCATAAGAAAGGGTCCCCAGATGGGCACAGGCCCCACGCACCATGCAGGGAGCGAGGAGAAGCAGCAGGTACCCTCAAGGTTCATGTCCATGGAAAGGGTATTTTCTGCTGCATCCCGCCCCCGTTCTGGGATCTGCAGAATGGAGTGATGCAGCACCAGTCCTGCTGCAAACCCRTCTCTTACGGGGCCTGGGGAGGAGCAGGGGTTTCCTTCCTTCCTTCCTCTCTCTCATTCGTGGCATGGAGTTTGTTTTTCATTTGCCATCCCAATCTTTGTTCTCGCCTCATACRGGGTCCTCTTAGTAATTCTGTGTAAGAGAAAAACCAAGCCACTGCCGTTGGTGTCTGTCAGATTAAGGAGAGGCTGCAGGAGCGATGGTGGAGGCTGAGGCAGCAGCCGGGGCTGGGGCMGGGGTTGGGGCTGCAGTCAGGGCGGGCTCGCCCTGGGGCCCGGCAGCGTCCCCGTGCTCTGTGGAGGACACGGCCTCCTCTGCTTCTCCATCCTCTTTAGCGGCCAGGCCCTCCGGGTCCGGCAGAGACTCTTCAGAATCTGTGTTCAGGTCTTCCTCCTCCTCATCCTCCTCATCGTCATCGTCGTCATCCTCCTCTTCGTCATCCTCCTCTTCTTCGTTCATCTCCTCCTCATCATCCTCTTCATCCTCCTGGGAAGAGTCCTCCTCGTCCTCGGCGCCGGCAGCGCCCGCTGTCCCCGCTGTCCCCGCGCTCCTGTCCATCTCCTGTCCTGTCCCAGCTCTGCTCGGGGCCGGGCCCTCGCTCACCTCGGGCTGCTTCTTGCTCAGGTCCAGCGAGTCGCTGAGCCCCACGCCCGCCGCGTTCTGCAGGAAGAACAGCGAGCTGGTGTTGTCAGTGCTGAGGTTGAGGGAGCTGTCCAGGTTGATGGAAGAGTTCTGGATATCGTAGTCAAGGGCGGAGTGGGCAATGCCCTCGGGGCCGGGAGAGATGGCAGGCAGCTCCCCKCGCTCCTGCTTCTCGTGCTTGCGCTTGTGCGAGTCCATCTGAGACATGCCCACCACCGTGTGCTTGCAGCCGGGGTAGGTGCAGTGGAAGTGGGAGCACTTGAGTTTGTATTTGCAGTCGGGCACCTCGCAGTCCACGCTGGAGCTGAACTGGCAGAAGCCGGCGGCGCTGATGACGTCCTGCTTGCCGTGGTGCTTGCGGTGMGCCGTCACCTTGGTGCTGTCGGTGCAGCGGAAGCCGCAGCGCAGGCAGTGGAAGTGCGTGCTGTTGCCAGAGAACTGACAGTCTGGGAAGTTACAGCTCAGTGAAGACTTGAAGCGTTTGAAATCATCCAGCACCAGGTTGTCGACGCGGTCGTGGTGCTGGGCGTGCTTGTACATGTGGGTGCGGCCGCAGAACTTGTAGCCGCAGTTCTCCCGCGTGCAGTGGTAGTGGGTGACCTTGAGGGAGAACTGGCAGCTGGAGTCCTTGCAGTCCTCGTAGAGGTCATAGCGCCGAAATCCCTCCAGCATCATCCCCTCGTCCAGCATCTTGCGCGAGGACGCGGTCTTGCGGCGCTTGCCAAACGGGGACATGTCCTCAATAATCCAGAAACGCTTTTTGGCCCCTGAGGCAGTTGGCATCGTGATGGTGTTCCCTGAGGAGACAAAGCGCAGAGCGGTGTTGCTGACAGCCAGGTCTCTCCGGCTCCCAGCCATCCTGGCAACATCTGTGTGTGCCAAGACACCGCTCCCACCCGCAGCTCATCCCTCGAGCTCCGAGTGAGCCCAAATCCAGGACCGAGCGCTGCCTCGTGCCTGGTGCACATCCCTTCCTCCACCTGCAGCACATCCTGCCTTGTCTGCTCCTCTGGGAAACCTCATCTTGTCCAAATGYTAACTGCTGCTTCTCTGCTTTGCTACCTTCACAGCTTCTCTTGCTGCTTAACGAATCTTGGTTAATTAGAAAACTAGTCCTGTTTTCCTCAAATCAGATTTTAACAGGARGAGCTGGCTTGTTCCAGTCCAAGGACTGAGAGTGTCACTGCAGTTCACTGGGGCGGTACAAAGAGCTGCAGAGTGCTCAAACTGGGATGTGTGTGCTCCTTTCCCCTATCCAGGCTCTTGCAACACACTACAATTGCCAAGGACAGGCAGGAAGTGAAGGAAGATCCCATGCATGATTAAAACTGCAACGGGCAGGGGAATTTATAGAAACAGGATGGACTTTGGCCCGGAGACTGCAACATCCCTCACTGTAATGAGCCTACATATTACAATGAGAGCACTTAGAAAGACAGATAGACAGATGTTCAATGGGGCTAATTCTCATCATCACTGGCCACTGGACTCTCAGAGAAAGTACCAGTTCTGCACCATTCCCTTGGGTCTCAAAAATTACATGATGCCCCTAGTATAAATAAAGATCCCTCATCTATCTTCCACTCTGATTCACAGGGCCAGCGTAACTGGCTACTGCTCGTGTCCCCTAGGACCATCAAGACTCAACTTCGTTTTATCTATTAACTTTTTTCTTCTCTGCTTGCTGTTTCCAGAATCAGCCCACAATCTCCAGTATCAACTGCAGCACAGACAAGTTTGGAGGCAGGATTTTTTCACTGTGCAGAACTGTAAGTGCAATTAGAAAGTAGAGCTTGCAACCAACACACAGTTTTTGGGTTTTTTTGCCACTCTTGCTGTTGGAACTGCCATCCTCTCAAAAGAGGCACGTTTTGTGACACACAGTGCTACTGCCTAGGGCCTGAGAACCCCCAGCAGTTGGCATCCTTGTCTGGGAGGCTGAAAGGACAGTGGCAGAATTATTTTCCTTCTGGCTGGTGCACAGGTATTAGAGGTGATGACCCTGCAGTGACAGCCCTTCAGAAGGTGGTGACCACTGAAGGAAACCTCCCAGGTGCCAGTGAGAGTGGTGGCAGCTCCCTCCTCTCTCACAGGGCTGGGCTGGACACTTTGTGGGATCAGCAAAGAACAAAAGGGTTTTGTCAAAGACTCTTGTGCTCAGACTGTGAATCGACACCAGCCTGGGTCATCCATGSTGAGACCATCTGAGTGACACAGAGCTGGTGGAAACTGCACGCTAAGGCTGATTTAACCAGCTACCAGTGAAAGAATAACTTTCTGTCACTGGAGATTTAAAATTGGCAGGCTCTTAGCTGCAGAGTCTGGGACCAATTTACTCTCTGCTCCCCCCTAAACATCTGGTATTGTAAAATCCAGTTCTCCACTCCCGGCCAACTCATGGAAGTGCAGTGCTGACCAGACAAGCTGCTGCTGTCCAGATTAACTCCTTTTRAAAGAATTACAGCCAAACCATCAAGTCCCTTAGCATTAATTAATTAATGCTCATATTGTCAGTCTTTGGACGGGACTTTCCTAGAGGAAAGACTCTAGATGGGAAACAAGTAGAATTTGAATTTAACCTGTTTAAAACTCTGTATCTACACAGCTTTAAAAACAATTTAAACAGATGTGCTTAAAACTTCAGTTAGAAACCAATTSTGTTTTCTCATCCAGGCAAAGTTTTGGAATAAGCACATAGGAAGGACAGAYGATATCTCGATGCACTCTGCCAGTGTTCAGTACCTGCACCCTGTGGAACATTACAAGCCTCAGAGGATGTGATCCCTACCAACTCTCAATGGCAAGGGTGTTCCAGAAGCTTGTTTCTTTAACCACTAATAAATCATGTGAGTACTCACCAAACTATACCAAGGTAAAAACAAAAGATACTTAGAAATATTTGTTTAGAGGAAGCACAGCACAAGGKTATGATGTTTCAGGCTGCATGCAATTTAGTTAAAAACAAGCAAAAATAGAGTTTCTTGAGAATTTTGTTAATTGGCACACACTCCTCTAGACAGGAGGATCCTTCTCCTGCCAAGTCCCTTGAGAAAAACCTGTGAACTGGAGTTAGAAACCTGTGAAATTGGTCCTCCAGCCATACTCCCAACCACTGACCTTGGATTTACATGTTACTAAAACTGGCAGGAAGAATGACTGGGACATTGGTAGGCTACCAGAAGCCTCATTAGTGTGAACTTCAAGCACAAGTATGTCCTTAATTAACTAAAAAAAGAGCTGGTAGTTGGAAAAGAAGYCAAAACTGAGACACACCCTAAGAATCATTCCCAGCTGGAATGAGAAACCCCAGCCGGAGACATCTCTGATCTCAGTCACACATGGGAATCATGGCAGCTTAAATCTGAAATCTAGCTGTATTTTCTGCAGCTGATTAGAGCAGATATAAATAACAAGCGTGAGAAACAGCTCGACCTGTGGGATGAAGTCACCCTGTGACACTGCCTCTCCTTCATCCCTTGTGCAGGGATCCCCTGAACTTTGGGGCTTCCTATGAAGTTACAAGATCAATTTTACCACAGGACCTGGGTACCCCATCAGACATTCCCCTGCTGAGATGTGTGAGCAGACTGTGCCAGGCACTGGCTTGGGTGCCCTGGAACAKCTAACCCAGAAATCCAAGTCCCATTAATGCCACATAAGCAAAAGTTTGCTCTGTGGCCACTTTGATGTTATCAAGAGACTGAAAAATGCATTTAAACTGTGGACTTYGCTAGGTTTTGCTCGATTTTCTCAGGAATTGGTGTCAGCTGCTCTCAGGTATCCATCCCAATGTCTGTGAAGGGTTTGCAGTGGGTGGCTGCCCTCGGCTGTGTCACTGTGTCACTGTGTCAGCAGGGAAATGGAGCAGGCACAGAGCCCTGGGTAAGGTCAGATCTGAGACACAGAGTGACCCTGGCTGCTCCACCCACCCAMAGGTGCAGAGAAAAAACCTGGGCAGGGGGAGAGGGGAAGGAGCTGGGCACAGGASACGGAGAGAAAGCAAACAAGTGTTACCTGCTGCATCCTGCACTAAGGGAACGTCACTTTTTACTGGAGTTGGAGTGGCAATGATGGGCGAGAACCCAGYGGTGCTGGCGGCAGGCATGACAATGCCTCTGCTGGCTCCCAGAGTGGCACTGAGCAACGAGTACGAGAGACAGGATGGAGAGAGCAGATAGGGGAGCGTGGGCAGGGGAGACCTAAGCAGGGCTTGGGAGAAAGRTGGAGGCAGAGATGGTGGTGGAGGCTGTGGTGCACTGGGGGGTGCATCATCGGCAGCAGCAGCAGAAGGAACCAGGCAGCCTGGAGAATGTGGAGAGAAAAAAAAAGGGGAAAAAAAGAAAAAAAAACAAAAAGAAAAAAACACAACAAAACAAAACAAAAAAACAAAAGAACTGAAATGAGAACCCAAGAGCAGAAGCAACATGATGAAAATGGAAAATACATTCACAAATGTATGAAACAGAACTGTAACAGAGAAGAAACAGAAGGTGAGGAATTGACAGCACCAGGAAGAGTAGAGTTGTCTCTGCAGAAGGTAAGGTGGCTTTATGGCATATGGGGAAGAGACTCAGGCTTTCAGGCAGGRATTCTGGATTCATCTGCTCATTCTGGTCCTTCTTCATCTGCAGGGCTCCTGCCTGCCTCACTGAACAGCTGTGAGGATGCTCCAGCACTTGGGCTGGGTGGAGCTGCTCCCTACCTGGAGAGYAGAGGGGGACATTTCCTAGGACTTGGGCCCTTAGTGACACAGAAGAGAGTGCCAAAACTGCCCCCCAGARCCCTCTGGAGGGGCCACAGAGCCATGGGGCCAGTGCCACGGCCAGCACTGCTCCTACAACACGTGTGTGCTTCATCTGGGGTGGCAAAGAAAATTAGGACAATGTGTAAGGAATTAAAGCAAACTGAGGAGCCCGTGCAGAACATCCCTCAGCCSTGGCAAGGACAGCTGAGAGATCCCTGGTCACCCCTGGAAGATGCCAGGATTCCTGCCATGTATCTGACCCTGACAAGCCATGGGGAAATGGCTCTGCCTTCTCCTGGCAAACAGGGCAGGAATCCACTTCCCAAAAGAGGGGATGAGGGGTCTCCTGGCACAACACTGCAGAGTGGAACAAGAGTTTCTGGGTGAGGAAGGGAGCTCAGAGAGCTGATGYTGCTTTCTGAAGATGTGATAGGTTTTATCCCCTGTGTAAGTCATCTCTGCTGTTGTACTTCATCAGTGACTGACTTCAGCTGCTGCTTGAGGAAATACAAAAAGGTACCAGAGCAAATGCCAAGTACAGAAGGGGCCCACAGTTCTTTTTTTCTATTCTTCCTTGTCTTTTTTTAATCAGCTGTTAAAATTGACCCAACTCAAGACCCAGGATAAAAACCTCTCTTCACTGGAGAAAAAAAACAATATGCTGTTAGTTCCTGGATGCTTGAAGTGTAAATTTTGATGGACCTCTTCTCTCAGGTGCTGGAGAGAGCTGGGTTAGTGTGAGGCACTACTGAAGTTGGCACAGTTTGTATTTTAAGGTGCAACTGTCCCTTGGCCTCTTTTCCTGAGTTTCTCTGCCAGGAGAGCAAAGAGCTGCTGATCCATCTCACAGCCCCCCTGCTCCCTTACCTGCTGAGGTACTTTCATTGCCCACGGGAGTGCTGGAACAGCTGCGGTCCATGTTGGAAGATTCGGAGGAGATYCCCCCCGGGCTACAGCCAGTGTAATCCATGAACTCTTCTGTTTCRGTGTCCATCATGCTTGGGGGTCCCTGAAAGGAAGCTGGGGTTCCTGATGAGGCTGGGCTGGGTGCCATGCTGCCAACCTGGGGGAGATTTTCACTCCTTGGAGTGCGGCCAATAACCTGCAGCGAGAAAAYAGGACGGGGACTTTCACACCAAACCAAGATACCAAAACCATCTGTCTGCGTGTTTATCTCCTGCACCACAGCTCACCAGGGAYAGCTGGCACATGCCTGGGAGTGGAACCATGGCACTGGAGCCAGCAGTGTGAMTCCTCCTGCACTGGAGCTCAGAGCATTAAACTTGGCACATCCACCCTGGAATGTGCACTGTGCTGCACTCGGGAGCTGCAGTGTTAATCTTGGCACCACGTCCTGCTCTGTGGATTCTGATGCACTCACAAACAGGAGGTGTTAATGTTGGCAYTGCTCCCTCACTGTAGGTCCTGCTGCAGGCAGACACCACAAACATTCAGGAGCTGTGTCAGAGCTGAGATCTGCAGCAGGGAGCAYGGACTGACACCAGGCCACGAGTGAGGGGTGGTCACCTCTGGTCCTCTCTGGACAGGTCATGCACAGGGACCTGACTGCATCCAAACACACCACAAACTGCCTGTGGAGCACGAGGTCAYAGGAGAACCTGGGGGCTGTGCATTTCAGTTCAGAAGGGTCTAATGTGGGGATCAGCAATGCTCAGCTTTGCTGAGAGCTGAGCTCTCACCTTCAGCTCCATGGGCTGAGCAGAGCAGGACAAGAGCTGTGTGCTCCCAGAGTGCTCAGGCCACCCTTAGCAATCCTGCTAAGTGGCACAGGATTACCAGTGAAAGGAGATGGAGGTCAAACACAGCATTTTCTGCCCAGCTGCACAGAATTCTTAGGGTTAGACTCAGCAGCATATGCTAGAAGAGTAGCAAAGACAAATCTATTTTKTAAATCTTCCTAAGGTTGATTCTTGCACCTAAACTTTTTAGGTTAAGATCCAAAACTGCCACAACAGGAACACCAGTTCCTTGGCACCTGTGAACTCAGTAACCCAACAGCACCAACACTGCAGTGCATCCACAGCTTCAGTAAGTCCTACCTGAGTAGGGACACGATCRAAGTTCTTGCCCAGCATCCTCCTCATGTGCTTCCTGGCGTGGGATGTCATTTGGTGCTTGAGCAGGAAGGAGAACTGGCAGCCCTCTCGGATGCAGTGGAAGTGGCTGTTCACCTGGTTGTATTTGCAACCTGAAGACAACAAAAAACATTTTATGTTGCCCATGAAAGTACTGAGAGGGAATAGGACTGCAGAGAAGAGGATTGGATGGGACAAGGCTGCTGTCCAGGTGGATTTCTGATGGATGAACGTTATCAGTGGTCATGGGTTCTTCAGGAACAGTCTTGAATGAAAAAAAACCCAAACCCAYGATCTACTGCCTGCTGAGAACTGCAAGAAAGGATTACAATACACAGAGATTCAAGACATGAGCCTAAGCCAAYCCCATCCCTCTTTGTTTCATTATGAAGAAAGGAACATTGCCATTACATCTGGTAGTGCCTAATGTTCTTCAGTCTTAGCTAGTGCCTTTTCTTTTACAAAGAGAACAAACCCAAGACATCTAGCTGTATTACAGAAGTTACAGTCAAAAATACATGCTCATATAATTAAATTAGAAATGAAAAGATCTTTTTTTTCCCCCTCTAACTGTACTCTCAGAAAAGCAGTCTCACACCAGCTCTGGCTTTGGACAGTGTGTGCTCTCTGCTCAGAGAGGAATGAGCCAGGAAGTGTTTATTGCCACTCCAAAATYGTTGTGTAACAGGGGCAGCTACTGAACAACAAGAATTCATTTGGGTTGTGACATYCAGCACTTCACAGGTCCTGCTCCTCGTGGCCACAGCCACGTGTGCCAGGAGTGGTGTATCAGKAACAGCCACAGCACACAGTGATAAACTGTTATAGCTCAAACACGGCCACATCAGGAGCAGGTTCTGCTTTTCCCAYCCCTCCTTGGCCATGCCCTCAGACACACCGAGGCAGAGATTGCAGACAGATCACTTTTACTCATCCATCTACACCCATCCACCTTTGTTTATACAGCTATGCCTCACCTCTCTCTCCAGTCATACACATGTATATAATTATACACACAGAAACATACATTAAAAAAATCCATCGTCTGTGTGTTTAGAAACGTTTACAGTCCTTACAACAGGCCAGTGCTTTCTGCACCTGCCATCTCTACATCCACARCATAAACCCCAGGACGTACAGAGATGCAGAAATGAATCCACACTKTGGTGTAAGCACACACAGCTCCACCCCAGCACTCCCTCCCTCTCTGAAGGCAAACCCATGGTGCTGGCTGAATTGTGTTTAATGCACAGCAGGCCCAGCCTGCAGCAAATGCACACAGTGCTGGGTGCAGGTACCCCGTCCCTCCCAACCCAACACTGCTGACACAGGCACAGGCTGTGGCTGCCTCAGTGCCAGAGAGCTCCTGACTCACCCTGCTCATGTGCAGCTGACAGCCAGGGTTCCCTGGGCTGGCCAAGAGCTGTTTGTTTGGGTCCCATTTGGCCCCTGACAGCCAGGGTTCCCTGTGCTGTTTGTTTGGGTCCCATTTGCCCCCTGACAGCCAGGGTTCCCTGTGCTGTTTGTTTGGGTCCCATTTGGCCCCTGACAGCCAGGGTTCCCTGTGCTGTTTGTTCAGGTCCCATTTGGCCCCATCCACCCTCCCATCCCTGTGCTGGGACTGGGAACAAACAGTGCTGGAACATCCCCAGGGCAGGTGAGGGCTCGCCTGTTGCCAGGGCAGCCGTGTGGGCTGGTGTCGTGTATCCTGCCCTGCTTTGTTCCAGCCCTGCTATCACCTGAAACACCAAAAGGTGAGTAAATAACAGCAACTGCTCCATCTCCTGCCATGTGCAAACAGAACCGAGGTGCTGCCTGTGSAGTGTTGACACTCATTGCCCTGGTTACCACAAACAACTTTCCATTTGCACACAAATTCTTGATGTAACCAAAGCTGCAAAGTTTCGTTCTGGTTACTGTGGCTGTTTCCCTGCAATGGGAGGTGTTATTACAGCCTGGACATGGCACACCCCACCTGAGCAAGGGAATAAACTCACCGAGTCTGCCGCATTCCTCCCGCTTGGTGAAGTACTTGAAGCCGTTGGCCGCCCTCCTCTCTGCCTTCTCGTGCTTTTTGACGTGCCAGGGCAGCTTGGTGGTGATGTTGGTCACGAAGTAGCAGCCAGGACGCAGACAGTGGTAATGCCCTCGCATCCGGAATTCACAGTGCTGCAGGGGGCACAGGCAGGGCCTTTAGGAGCTCTGAACAAACTCATTCTCCTTTTAGGAGCTCTGAACAAACTCATTCTCCTTTTAGGAGCTCTGAACAAACTCATTCTCCTTTTAGGAGCTCTGAACAAACTCTCCTTTTAGGAGCTCTGAACAAACTCATTCTCCTGCCTGCTCTGCTGCTGCTGCTGGTGGCACTTCTGAGCTCTCCCAGGGCCTGCACAGGCTCCACATGCCATTCTATCTTCCATAACCTGTGTGTTCCCTCTCCAGTCTTTTTGTATTGCAGTCCTGTACTCTGTCATACACTATTCTATGCTGAAATATCCCAAACCTTACTCATGGCTTTCCCTGGATTCATCACAGATTTTTATTCTATTTCATCTCGTGCCTCTTCAGATCATTCTAGTTCCCTTGTCCACTTCACCCAAGTCAAAAAAACACAAAAGCRTCACCATTTCCCATTTGAGAAAACCAAACATTTTCCCAGAGCATGTCATTAGGACTTTGGTGGTTGTGCAGTTAAGACCAGGAACGCCACACACAACCCCATTTCCTGCAGGAGACTCAGTCCATCTGATCCTCCTCCTGCTCCCCCTCTCCAGAGCWCTGCCCTGGAATGGCTCTTACCTGGTTGGGACAGAGACACTGCAGGGAGTAGTAAGCAAACTGATCTCGCACATTCACCAGGTTATTGTTGGGGTTGATGTGGTCCAGGCAGTGGGATTCTGCTTTGCCAGAGGTTTTGCACACATACTTGCAGTTCCCAAAGAGACAGTGGAAGTGGAATTTGTTGGCGTACTTGCAGTCTGTTGCCAGGCAGGGATCACTGGAATACAGCCAAAACCCAATCATCACCTTCCCTCATTTCACACGTTTGTTTCTTTGCCAAAATTAAATTCAAGGGGAGCCCGGCTGACAAACATGGCCCACAGATTTCCCATAGCCATCCTCCTCTTCAGAGAAATTCAAGCTGGCAACATTACTGCAATTCCACCCAGCTACTGCACTTTCTTGATTATCAGAACACAGCAATGCATGGRGGGCTCTGCAGCCTTTGAGGGCCACTCTTCCCATTTAAAGCTGAAAGGAAACACAACTTTTGGGCACGGCCACTGCAGGATGCCAGGGCTGCTCCTGACCTGACAAAACCAGCACTGCCATCTCATCAGCTAAATGGGTTTGGTACTTTACATCCCCACTCAGGCCATGGCTTTCTTGCCCAATAACCCTTCAAAGTCTCGAAAATACTGCAAAGATGCATGTAATTCTGCACAGCTCTCACAAGGAATAAAAAAGGAATCAGTGAAAGATCAGCAAGTTTATTTATCTTATAAACTGATGCATAAAAGTGCTCTCAGATGCACTCAGAAACCTTCAAGTATTTCCTAGACTTTACAACAGTAAATTTTCTGTGAGGGAAAGCCCAGAGTATTTTCTAGCCAGGTCTCAGTGCAGTACTCGGAGGAGAGGTACAGAGGGGACCAAGGTGGGCAGGACAGGAGGAGGCAAACGGCAGCTAAAACTTACTTCTCCTGGAACTGCAGAAATCCAGGCTTGACCTGAGGCTTGGCATTCTCCAGGGAAGTGGTTGCCAAGGGCGAAGCTGCCAGGTTAGGCACTGATGCTGGGATCTGAGGCATCTGGGGTATGGTTGAAGCCAGCTGCTTCCAGGCCAGCAGCGTGGGGGCAGAGGGCACCGCGGCCGCGTTTGGAGTGGCCATGTCGAGGGCAGSAGCACTGGCCATGGGGCCAGGAGCAGCAGGTGGTGATGAAGGGGCCAGGGAAACCTTATTCTCAGTAGTGGTTGAGAAAGGAGACTCTGAGTTGCTTTTCACAGTTCCACCCTCAGTTCGGAAGTGAAAACTGCAAAACATGRTATTAATTCAGACATAAATTGACCATTTCACGTGATTTGATTAAAATCAAGAAGAATGTGGCAGGAGCCTGCAAATAAATTAGGGTGGATAAATCCTAAAAGGGGTTCTTGAGACTTTGCAGTAAGATTTAGGGCCCTCTTAAACCATCTATGAAGAGAAGGGGATTCACTAAGATGGGTGGAGACYGGTGCCAAACCCTGCTGAAATCAGAGAAATGCAAGAACCAGAGCAGTCACTGAGACCTTCTGCAGCTTCCCAGGGCTGAGAGAGGCCAGCAAATTGCTGCAGTGAACCACAGGGAATAAACAACAGGAGACACCACCTGTGCTCACAGATCTGTCTTCAAATTTACAGCATCACCTTCCCCACCCTTCAGACTCGGGCACTGTGATGGCACCACATGCTTTACTCATGGTTTACTCAGACATTCTGCTGCACTCAGGAGGAGTTTGGGGTGTTGAACTGTCCCAAGCTGCCCAAGGCTCTGCTCTACTCACTTGGCGTGTTTGATGGCTCCATCCAGGGTGCTGAACAGGGCYCCACACTCCTCCACCACGCAGTGGAAATGCACCTTGTGCAGAAAATCACACTGCGCGTCGCAGAAATCCTTGGTGCCAAACCTGCCCMAAGAGACAAGCACACAGCTCAGCAAAGCCCCAAGTGGCGCTGGAACAGACCTTTTTTCCTTTGTTTTTCACTCTATTAGCATTCCCACAAACAGCAGTCATTTCAGGGAGCCCATTTGRGATCCAGAACCCACCCAGGCCTGCCCTTGGCAGGAGGGGATCCACAGATGGGAGACACAAAGCATCACCCTGGACTGCAGAAATGCTGCAGAGCACCTCCCTGATGGACAGAACAGCAACCCTGCATGGAACCCCAGAGCAAAACCCAGCACATGATCCAAGATATGCCTTGGGTCATCCTGGAGGAAATGGCCAAGAGGGAAAAGCCAGCTCAGCGTGGTGTCACTGCTCAGCCACTGCTGGGATCCTCTGGACTTAATAAGCACAGCACAGTAATTTCAGGAAACTCCAGAATCACAGGGAATCAAGAAATCAAGTAAGAAACACTGGCAGGAAGGATTTGAAACTTAACAAGGGAATGCTGCATAATTAAGATACAACAAACTACAGTTGCTCTGATGAGCAGGAAAGCAAGAAACAAACAGCAGCCTGTGTGGTCCCAGGAGGGACCTCTCACCAATGGGAGGGTAAAGGAAAGAGAAAAAACTGCTCCTGGAGAAGAAAGGTCTGTGGAAATAAAACATGTGCTGTCAGTTATGGCTTGCAGGGAGAAGAGGAAGGAAAAGAAATTATGTGGTATGAGAGAAGAAAGCAAGTTATTGCAGACCAAAGGGGTTGTTTTATCAGGGACAAGAGCTGTTGAAGACAGAAAGAAGGCCCCCCAAAAAACAGGAGGTGATGAGTCAAAAATGGCTGCATTATAAAATTTGCTTTGGATGAGAAAACTAACAACAATGCAGAGAATCTGGGATTAAATAAAGACTTTTAGAAGAGAAGGTAAAGGGACTTGTTTGAAAAATATAAAAATGCACAGATCAGTCAATCTGGGTGATGTATGTCCTGAAGTGCAATGGRAATTAACTCCCAAACTGATTACATTACCATTTGCTGGTTTTTAAGCCATARAGAAGTGGGAGGTACTAGACAACTGGGAAAAAAAAAAATTAAACAGTCAAGGTACTGGTTCTTTCAGGGAAAAAAAAAGACAAGTCATCTTTGGCAATTATCATACCTCTGGCCTTAACTTCTCTTTCCAGTAAAGTAATGGAACAAATATTAAGAGGGAGGAGAAAATCATTAAACATCTAGAGGATAAAGGAACCAGGAGCAATAAACAGCATCAGGATTATAAAGAATAAATCTTGCCAGACAAATTTAATTGCTTTTTTTGATAGAATTACAAAATTAGTGGATGAAGGGATGCAATATATTTGGATTTTAGTAAAGCATTTGATTCAGTCTCGCATATGCTCAGAATTAATTCCAATTGGCCTGGATGAAATGGCACCTCATGGCYTGAAAGTGGCTGAGGGACCATAAACAAAGGCTGATGACAACAGCACCACTCTGAGCTCGGAGCAGGAGGCATTGTGTGAGTGCTGAGAGGACTTTGAGTTTATTTAACATCTTCATTAGTAATCTAGGAGTAAACAGYGTTTATGGAGTTCACAAAGATACTCAACTGGGAGGAGGTGACAATRCCAGTGCAAGAGGAGAAAAGGAGCACAGAGAGGTTTGGCAAAACAAGGAGAAGGTTCAGACAGTTCAGGAGAATCATGTTTTGAAACACACAACAAACAGACCTGGGCATGGGAGGTGTTTTATGTATTGGGGATTCTCAAACAACAYTAAAAGCAAATCTGTGCCACAGAGGATGACAAACATGGTGCCACACATTGCTCTGTGCAGACACAAATTGAGAGCTGCCCGTTTGTTCTGAGGGGGTGGCTCAGTTCTGCAACAGGACCTGCAGGTGGAGGGACTAACCCAGGTTAAAGGAGTAAGCAATCCTGGGTAAATGGAATGCTGAAATCTCTGACTGTCTGAAACTCCAACTGCACAGAGGGATGATCTGCTTGGTTCAAGGGGTATAAACACAACTGCAACTAAACTACAAAAAAGGGAAATTCAGGCAGCACACCATGGAAAAAGCTGTGACATTGAACTTAGTAGGTGGTACAACAATGCTCCCAGAGACAAGAAAACAGTGACACTGCCTGGCACAGCAACAACCAGACTGGACAAAATGCAAAKGGACTGCAGGGCAGGATCTCACCCCAGCCAGGGGCCAATGCACTGGAAATTTTCCAGTCTTCTCCATTAAAGGCTGGGATTTACAAAGTGTCCACTGGCGTTTGTAGTGACTCTGCTCAGAGCACAAACCTGTGTGTCTGCCTGGGTGTATCTGTGCATTCAAAGTCTGTCTGGGGTTGTATGTGATATGTCTGTGTGCAGGTGAGCTTTCTATCTGTTCCATTTTCCTTCTGAGTCTCCTTTCCCACAACAAAAGCAGCAGAAACCATCCCAGCTCATCTGCTGATTGAGAATTAGGCCTTTCCACTCAGCAGAAATGGGGTGAAGCAGCGAGGTTTTGCCAAGGAAGGCTCTCCCTTTCCCCTATTCCCAGTCCAGCTCTCCTTACCGGCGCAGGTACATCTTCCATGGCTCTGAGAGCTTCTCCTGGACCAGTGCCTTCACTGCCTTGCCCAAGTACTGGCTTGGCTCCCCAGCCCCAGCCTGGCTGCCTTCGCCTTCTGTCTTAATGTTCAGCAAATTGCCAAGGCTGCCACTGCTCTTGGACATCTGGAACAAGAAGATGGACACTGCATTAATGCCAGCACRCAGACACAGCCTCAGGACTGTCCCACACAGAGCAGTGTCTTCAAAGATTACAGCAGAAGACAAAAAGTCTGTGCAAACTGCCCCAAATGCATCAGCAAAACTCAGTAACACCTCAGTGTTTTGCATCCTCCACCCAATCATCATAAATCATCAGGTGCKCATCGAATATTCGTGGCTCCTGTTAAATGAATGAAGGATCATTTTATCTCTATTTTATACATCAGSAAACTGAGGTGAAGAGAGACATCCCTGATTTGACTGTGGAGAAGGTGTGTGGACTTCAACAGTCAGAGTCTGATGTAGCTCCTACAAACTGCTGGTGGCAGAAGGGGGAAGCTCAGTTCACTCAGTCCTCTCMTGGCAGCCACAAGGATTCTCCTTTAGTGACTGTCAGGTATTGGGGAGGGTGGAAGGAGGAAAATCCCACTCAGCTGCAGAGAATTCTGTCTCAGGGTCCTGGAAAATTCTTATTAACTCCAATAGCACAATTGTGTCACTGTTCTGTGCTAAATGGACACATTCTCCACAAAGCAGGACTTGGACTCATGATCTGCATTGCACAGAAAACTTCACACAGAATCTACACAGAGAAGGTTTAGAGGTCCAGGTGGATGAGGTGGAGGATAGAAAAATGAAGTGACTCWAGCCTGCCTAGAGGGAAAATTTTCTTTCAGAATAAATGCACAATTTCCCAAACCCTTTCTTGCTCTGCTGTGCTCTCAATTACCTCCAGGAACAATAGTGAATTTAATGGCATAAATAAAATGCAGGATTGCGCCCAATACTTGCACGAGAAACTCCACCCACTTGAGGGTCTCAAAGCCCTTTATAAATATCAGTTAATTAAGCCTGACAGCCCCCTAAATAAACTGCAGTAGGCTACAGGAATTCTGGTATTTGAGGCTCTCTTAATGCCCCCTGAAGGTAAAGCCCCTGCTGCTGTGTGGAGACTGCAACTCGTTATGTTTGGAGTCAGAAATTCAGGTCGTGTGTTTCCAGTGGAGTGCTCGTAATTCCATTACTGGAAAGGGCTCCTTTTCCTAGACAAACAATGAAGGATTCCCCCATGGACAGAAATTCTGGGCAGCAAGAGGAAGGAGCAAGTGTGCTGTGTTCCTGAGCAGACAGAGCTTGACTCTCCAATCTTTAGTCCTGGAATTGGGTCCATCATTCACACACAGTGGGTTCTGCTCTTTGCTGGTTTTTGTCATTGGTCAATCCCATTCCTTTARCCTGACTCTCAATTTGCACCTGTGTTACATTTGCTTTGCACAACTTAAAGAACCTTATGTCAGACAGCACAGAAAGAAATGCTTTTTTCTAAACATCTACTTAAATCACGTGTTATCCTGGAGATTTCAAATGAAGTCTCCATTGAAAGGGAATTTCCCTGATCTGGGACCTTTGGAATCACTTAGGACCCCAGAGAGCAGTTATTAAATACATTTGCCCACGAAAGAAACACCTGCATATTTGGAACCACTAAAGGGACAACACAAAGGAACAAATAAGAAATTAAGTTTAAAAGGGAAAATCAAAACCCCAGTGTAACAGAGAACCAATGGAGGAGAAAAGTGACATAAGGATAAATGCAGAAATTAAACAACACCAAGAAAAACAGTGATAAGAAAGAAAGGAGGTGGGAGATTACGAGGCAAAGTGGCTTTGCCCTCTCCTGAGGGTTATTTGACCTTGATGCACGTAACGCCCAGATCCAAGGGGATGGCAGTGGTTGTGTCTGTAAAACCTATCACCAGCAGAATATTAAAGCACGGCTCAAAGGCTGCCCTGAGCTCCGCTGCAGTTGTATACAGCCGCAAAATTAATCTTGSTACAGTAAAATTTATCATGTGAAAGAGAAATATATATTTGAGATGATGTATAATTTAAGGAAAAAGTAAGGAAAAAGAAACTGTGCATTATCTAAAATAAATATTCTAGAACACAGTAAAGGGCACTCTGTTAGACACCATTACTCATACCAGAAAGACAGAAATTGATGATTTTTGCTCAAAACTTCTAATTTTTTATTCTCTTTCATAAAAACAGTTTATTCTCCTCCTCCTCAAAGGAAGGAAAATGTTTTTATGTAAGTAAACAAAATGAGTAACTAAAAAAGGAGAGTGAGAGAGAAGTTGACAGGTTCTGGAAATAAAAAGTGAAAAAAAAAGACACAAAAAAAAAAAGAAAAAAAAGAGAAACCTTTTGGAGTCCTCCTCTGTCTAGAAAGGATGGGGGAAAAAAAGGTGTCAGGGGCTGCAATATATTTCTTCAGCCAGTTCATTAAATTAATTCGTAAGCAGTGGCTCTGAAATTATACCCGATGAAAAATGGTCTCAAAATTTAAATGGTACAAACTCATCTTATTAGAGGGAAAACATTAAAAAACAAACGCATCTTYCCCCCCCCTTCGCCACCATCACAGCTTTAATTTCTCTTGGTGGGGGGAATGAAAGGCGTTTGATGGATGGCTCTTACCTTATTCATAAGCGAGGATAAAAGAGATGAATTTGCCGAGACTGTGTGGCCATTTGATTCATTACTGAAACACACAAACCAACAGGGTTTAGTTAAGATGTGCACAGGGACTGGGAGCGCTGAGATTAATCCTTCTCCCTTCAAGCTGCCTCCCTCCTCACCTACTACAGGAGGAGAATGATGCCAGCCCTCCCTGGGCAGCTCAAAGTCGCTTCCCTGTGACAGCCAAGAGGGACACAAAGAGGCTCCCAGACCTGCAGAGTTCAGTTCTTCCAACTTCCAAACAGCCCAAACCTCTTCTCCCAGTGCCACTGCACCATCCTTCATCTGCTCTCTCATTACCCCCATGTCTGACCCCTCACCCTGTCAGAGGTGCAGAAATACCCCACAAACGCAGGGGAAGGCTCATTCTGCCAGGGATGTGGGTCCATGGGCTCTGGGGAAGTGAGGAATGATCCTGAATGGAATTTTAGGAGGTTGGGATCTCACAGCAGCCTCAGGATCTGACAGAGCAGCGAGAGCTGCTGCTGCCTTCAGGTTCTGGTGTCCTAAAGGGGGGTTGTTTAAATGAGGTGTGGACAGGAATGGATACAAACATCAAAGTGGAGCTCACTCATCCCCAAGATCAGCTCCTCTGCATTTTCCACACAGCACAAGTGCCAAACCCTCCTGWTCTCAGCAGAAATGGACAGTTGGCACACAAGCTGTGAGATAGGGGCACTGACATCTGCACAACCATCACCAAACTGCAGATAAACCTGTGCCACACCCAGACCCGAGCTGGYCTGACACCMTGCAGCTCTGGGTGTCCAGTTTCTYAGGAATGTGTTCCCTCAGTCCTGATTCAGCAGACCACAGCCGTGCAAATGCTGCTGCTAAGGATGTGCTGAGGTGTGGCACTTCAGTCAGCACTTGGTGACAAAGGGACTCAGTCAGTAGGGCCTGGGAGCCCAAAAACCATCTGGAGAACGTACACCCAATGGGGAGAAGTGTGAGCCTGCCTGTCTGCATTCTGGGTGTCCAACTCAACCACTGCAGAACTGCTTTCACCACCACGCTGTGTCCCTTGAACTACAGCTACAGAAACCTCCCAAAGCCCAGTTCTGGGAACAGCTGAGTGCCTGCCCACAATTCTCTCACCCGTGGTCCTTGATGCTCAGGTCCAAGCTGTGCTCCTGCAGGGAGTCCTGGCTGATGGCAGATGAGGATCCCAGCGCCTCGGCAGGTTCCTGCTTCACCTGGACTGGGTTGAACCGTCCAGGAGGTGCTGCTTGGCCATTCCCTGCTCAACAAAGACACCCAAATTACACGTAAAGAATAAATCTAAAGTGTAGGTCTAAAATGAGCTTACAATGGCAAGTAAGTTGAATCGTTGGCACCAGCGCCTAAACAGAAAAAGCAAAGAAAAAGTGTGGGGGGAGGGAAGCACTGGGGTTGCTGGTCAGCGTTTATTGCCAAGTTGACGTGATGGGTTCTGACGTCCACTCCAGCGTGGAAATTCTTCAAGTGATAATTATTGCAAAATTATGTCAAAGTTGTCCAGGCTATGGGCCCTTTAAAGGAGAAGGGCGGAAGGAGCGTGGGGGAGACCTGATTCTCTGCACAAACTGTCATAACTAATTTGCGGGGCTGCCTCTTAAGCGTTTATTAAAGACTCTGTTAATGCTGAGGCAATGTGGCAGCTTTCGACTGCTAGTCAAGCCCCGTCCCCRTCCCCATCCCCATCCCCGTCCCAGCGTTGCGTAGCGACAGCAACGGCCCCGCTCTGCGCCTGCCCAGCACAGCACCTGCCCCGGGGCCACCGAGGGGACAGCAGGGACCCCAAAGTGTGTGACCTGCTGGCACTGCCACTGCACAGCCCCTCTGACAGAGCACGGGGAGGAGGCAGTGCCGAGCCCAGGGAAGGAGAATTCAAATTAAAGGAGGAGAGGAAAAGAGGAAAGAGGCGGGGGTGTGGGAGGGGGGGTGGGAGGAGGAAAGGAGAACAAATTAAAGGAAAAAAAATTAGGAAAAACAGCAAMGAGAAAAGGAGGGAAAGAAAGTTGCTGACAGGAACATGTCTGCAGAGCTTTTTTCCACAATCCCCAAGTGACTAAAATATTAATTTACCCTCCGGCAGTACAGCTGACGGCGAGCTGCTTCTCAGACAGCAAGTGGCATTTTATTAAAAAATAAAGGAAAATAGTTCCCTCAATGACCTTTCCCTGCTTTAGGAAACAGTTTTTCAAACAATAATTTTAAAAGCATGTGAAAGTTCCCCTCCCTCTTTGAACAGATCACTTCCCTGCACTCCTCCGYTGGCTCTTGGGAAGATGTGGCCATTGGCCATCATTGCCATGGGCAGCAGCTCCGGGCTCTGCACAGCCCAGGACGAGCTCAGCACTGCAGAGATTCCACACACAGCCCCACAACTGCCCCTCCCTCGCTGCCCACCCTGAGCTGAGCCTGTTCAGCAGATTCGGGAGGTTCCCTGAGCTCCTGTGGCAGCCCAAATCCACCTGGCAGGGCTGGGATTGAACCATGACCTCTCTCAGGGCTGGGATTGAGCCATGACCTCTCTCAGGGCTGGGATTGAGCCATGACCTCTCTCAGGGCTGGGATTGAGCCATGACCTCTCTCAGGGCTGGGATTGAGCCATGACCTCTCTCAGGGCTGGGATTGAGCCATGACCTCTCTCAGGGCTGGGATTGAGCCATGACCTCTCTCAGGTCTAAGCAGGAAGAGTTTTGGGCTGCCCTGGGGCACTTCCTCTTCCCATCTTTTACCCCTCAGGTTAAAGGGAGGGGATCACGGTTTGCTCAGTCCTGCTTGTGGACTGTACCAACCCTATCCAAACCCACAGCTGGGTCAACAAAACTGCAGCACAGAACCAGCCCCAGATCAGAKAAACCACTGGCCATGGGCTGCCATCAGCACTGGGCCCAGCAAGGCTCGATACAGCCTGAGCAGAACCTGCAAGTACAGGCTGAGGTGTTTTTTCTTCACTTCCATTTTCAATGCAGTGCCTCTCTCTGCTCAGCCTATACCAAGTCACACATGGTAACACTTTTCCTTCAGCTCTGCTAAGAGCCTGCTCCCTTCATGGCAAAGCTGTTTCTTGGCTCTCTTTTGGCCATGGAGGTAGAGCCAGGCTCCACATGAAACCACGCTAAAACTGCCTTCTGCAAGAGTTAACTGGACACAGCCAAATTCATTCTGCCATTACTGTTCCTTTACTACTCCTTCCCCAACTGCAGTCCCATGGACACCTCTGTGGCTTCTCATTCACTCTGGTCCAAACCACAAGGCACTGCTCTGCCTSCCCCTGCTATCACAAGTGATAAGGGACTCACCTGCTTCCAGTGCCACCGAGGGCTTGAGTGCAGCTGCTGCCAGCCTGGCCATCATAGGAGAGATCARTCCCTTGCTAGCAGAGATCCTCTCCATTATAGAGGCTGCTGGAGTGGGAGAGGAAGTAGCCACTGGCTCAGCAGATCCTGGAACTGCCTGGGATGARGAATCTGTGGGAGCTGACGGTGCTGGGTTGGTGCCAGAAGAAGCAGCAGTGATCAGATTAGCCGAGCTGGCAGGAAGAGGGGTAGAGACCCGGCTGGGGATGATGGGGAAGAAGGATCCAGCTGCTCCAGGAAGGGCCGAGTTGGAGAGGGCCAGGGCCAAGGGGATATTGCTGGGAAGAGCCTGGGAAAGCAGGCCAGAGATCTTGGTGGCTGGTGTCATGCTGTTGGCAGATTTGGTGGCCTGGGAGGAAGAGAGCTCGGCCGCAGAGGAGGGCGCGGCCGGGACGATGAGGGACACGGAAGACTGCTGACTGGTCGGGGAGGCACTCAGGCTGGAGTTCTTGGAGCTCAGGGCAGAGAAGTCAATGAGGTCGTCGTTACTGGACTCCTCCTGCTCGTTGTCCTTGGAGCCCAGCAGGGAGGSGGGCAGGCCCAGCACCCCCGAGCTGCGGATGTGCCGGCGCTCGTGTTTGCGCTTGTGCGAAGTCATCTGGCTGGTGGAGGTGAAGGTGAAGCCRCAGCCCGCCCTGATGCAGTGGAAGTGGTTGGTGGCCTTGCTGTACACACAGCCCTCATACTTGCATTCCTCATACTTATAGAACTTCTTGAAGCCGTCCTTGGCATAGGCATCRTCTTTGATGTGGTAGCTCTTGTGCTTCTCAATGTCACACTTGTTCTTGAAGGTGAACGTGCACCCAGGTCTCCTGCAAGGGCACCGAGCACAGGGTGTTGGCTCTGCAGGCAGAGCTGCTGTCCCCTGCCTCCCTCTGGGACAAGGATGGGGCTGTGGGGCTGTAATGAGACCCTGCCCCACTGCAGAGGGGCTGAGGAGCTGTCTGGGTTAAGCAAGGCAGGCAGACACTCTGCCACGGGAGAGCGGGGACACTCAATCCCCTCTGAGGGACAGCCACAGGAACATGGGAATATGGGCACCCTCCACTAAATGCTCCAACCAAACAGCTAATGGGGACCAGGATACRAACTGTGCTTTCCTACTCTTCTGAGAACATGAGAAATCAATAGAACAGTTGTGTACAGAAGGCTAAGTCTGGCCCCAAAAGGGAGGAGCTGGCTGGAGAAAACCCTTCCATGGAAGTGCCATTAGCAGTGTATTAATGGCCACTTCAGCTGCACTCTGAAGAGCACAGTGGTTTCTTTCCCAAATGGTTCTAGGCTCTATTTTCCACTGGCTATGCTCTGCTCAGATCATACTCGTGCCTGGTCTGTGGCACAATCCTGGAATCCCCTCTGCCCTGGCACCTGAGCTCTCTCAGGAGCAGCACGGAGAAGGTCCCAGCAGGGCAAATCAAATCCCTGTGCATACCCTGGAACTGGGACTTGGCAGAGGGAGGCAAACAGACCCCACAGCTCTGATGGAACTGCTCCCTTCCCTSCTCTCACCTGCAGTGGAAGTGGGTGGTTTTCTGCCCGTAGAACTGGCACTCCACGGTGCCGCAGTCCTCGGTGGCGCGGAACCGCTGGAAGCCATCGTTGATGAGCTGAGTGTTCTTCTTGTGGAAGTTCTCGTGGGTCATCACATCAGAGGTGCTTGTATAGACCTTGTTACAGCCCACCTGCCCCAGAGCAGAGAGGAGCCATCAGCACTTCACACTGACATTATCACCAGCAGCAATAAACACAGGAGCACCACACACACGTTCAGTGGTTTCATTGTGTGCTGCTCCCAGGGGTATTCAGTCATCACTTTAATTCCCAATCTAAAGACTGATAGAGCATAGAGCAGTTGTGAATAAAAACCAAACCCAAACTMACTCTCTAGGCATGGAAAAGTAAGAAAAAAGGGAGGATCAGAGGGATAAAACTCCACTGGAGATGATCATGCCTGCTTGGGGAGGCAGTTATAGGGTTCCTGCTCTTAAAGAGAAGAGAACACCAACAGATGCTGCTGCTTTTGTKATCTTGGAGTGACACAGGACAAGGAAGGATTTCATCTATTTGGGGAATACAAAACTGAGTGGGAATAAGTTATTTACTTCTTTAGTCCTGAGAGGTAAAGCATGCTGCTGCAACACGAGGCCAACCAATCTTTTGAGCTKGTAATAAATGGTTTCATTCTTGCAAATCTTAAACCCCATGTTCTGCTGATTTTAGCAAACTGGTGCCTTTTTTTTTCCTGTCACTGTTCAAGACTCACACTTCAATAATTTTAAACTTGTGCAGCCAACAGGAATGTATGTGACAAGGACGGAATGCTGAAAACCTGCCTTCCTCTGGGTAATGCAGGGCAACTTTGCCATATTGAGTAAAAACCCACTGGAATCTGAAAACGTCCTCGGCCCTGCTGAGGGTTTTTTTTTCTTTTTTTCTTCTAGCACAACATGTGCCAATGCCTGCACCATCTCAGAAGTGAAGAGAAGGAAAACACCACCCCTCAGTTCAGCCCAGGTTGATTCAAACAGGCAATAACAAAACCTATGACAAATACCCAGAGAAAAAAATAAAAAGGATCTCCAGCTATTTCCAATATAAAAGAGCCTCTCTCTCTCTCCACACTGACACCTTGAAAAAAGACAGGCCCTGCATGGCATTAAAAAAAAGAATTAAACAAAAACGTCCTTAGGAATAATTTGCAATGCAGCTCTTGGTGCTAAAGTCTAAAAAAATGTCAGTTTATATAAACAACTAACTGAATTTTATCCACACCAATTATGGACATGAAGAAAAAAACCCCCATGTGATGGATGGCACAAATTCTGCCATTTAAGCAGTATTTTCTTTAATTGGGAGTTTATATTCTGACACCTTTCCTGTAAGGCACTGCTTACATGGGCATTACTTTACTGGAAGACAGTGGGCACAGAATGGAATTTGCCATATATAGCTGTGTAAGCAAGGGTCTCTATTCCAACTCAGAGCAACTTAAAGCTGTGAAACACTCCTCATACCCTAAAAAAAAATCAAACAAATCCCACCCTGCTCAACTGAAGAAACTAAACAATTAGTTTTATGGAAGCGTAACAGMAAATGTCCTCGAGAGAAAGACACATGAAGTTCCCAATTTATCAAACACTGTAAGCACATGCTCCAACCAGCCCCTATTCAGGACAGAGCTTGAGTGCATGCCTAACATTTAAGTATGTGCTTAAGCCCCATTGACTTCAGAAAGCTTACCTGACTTCAAGTTAAACATATGCTGAAGTCTATCCTAGCAAAGCATTTAAGCATGTGATTAAGGCCTTGTGACTTTAACTCAGGTCTTAAGCTGCTGGGACGGGTCAGGAATTGAGCCTGACTTTTCWAACCAGAAAATCTGTCACCAAGGGCTGGCTGATCACTGTTTGTAACTGCAGAATATTCTCAGGGCAATGGTTTAGGCCACAACTCCAGTAAAATGAGCACACATCAAACTCTTGAACTGAGGAAGGATCAGGGTCAGACCCAAACGTGTGGTGTGTCCATGTCTGGAACAGTGAAGGCATCACAGAGACATTTGGGCAGCAGCTCCAGCTCTGGCACTGCTGAGGTTGGGAGCYCTGGGATGTGACTCCAACCCCATCACACCCAACTGCCACCAGTGAGGGACATGGAGAGCCAGGGGTGTGAAGGGAGATGGGTGACATTAGGGTTTAATTACTCTAGAAATTGGTTATGGAGGAAATYAACCCAGAGCTCAAGGGCAGATGTGTCACAGGAAAGTCTCACTTCAAGGCAGGGACAGAGCAGATTTGAGTGGAGGCATTAAAGCAGTCCCTGAGTSTCAGACAATGGGACTTAATTCAACAAGTCCAAGTGAGAAAACCTGGAGACCTGCTCTGCCTCACTGCATGGGACAAGGCTTCTGAAAACTGAGAATGGGAATTCCCTCTTCCATTCCCAACACTTGGGCAGGACAAGACAGTGARGATCAGGCACAGGTTCATCAAAGAGGGTCCTGACTAAGTGAGCAAGAC